ACATTTGTTTCTCTTGTCCATCATACTGAATGGTACAGAGCAGCTTTGCCGTGTCTTTCACAGAAACTATTTATTCCCCAGTTGATGATTTCTGCTTGATTTCCGTCTCCCGTGCATGTTGTCAGAAGCCTACAAAACCCTGACAGCTGGTATTCCATTTAGGGACAAGACTTGGGGGACGCATCTTGAAAGGGCTCACACACAGATCTTGCTGCACGTCTACTTGACTTCCAAATATAATGTGATTTCACTGGCGACGAAATGGAAAAGGAGTGAGGATGATGAAGAGTCGTTCTGTAAAGAGTCTTTGAAACGCCTAAGCTCGGGGAAATGACCCAGGGCCACTAAAGGGGAGCCAGGGCGGGGTTTGGTCAGGTGGACCTAGATTTAAAGCCTTACTCGAAGTTTGACTTCGGACAAATGACTCCGTCTTGCTGAGCCTCAGTTCCCTCATCTGTCCCACAGGAACCACAGAACTGATCCCTCAGGCCATGCTGACAGGTCGGTCTAACGTGTTAACAAATGACCAGCACTTGGGAAGCACACCAGACAGCTTTCCCTCATCCCTTTCCTCCTGGACTTAGTACATAACATAATTTATCCTAAGAACACTTAATAAGGATCTGGTGACAGGCAAATAGATGATTCAATCACAAGGCCACTTAGTTTCACAGATGTCAGCGACTGGAACCAAATAATAAAATGTGAAATTCGTCTCTCAGTGTCACTGAGCTTATGTTCTCCAAAATCAAAACAGCTGGTGATTACAAGTGGTCCAACCGAAGCAAACCAGCTTAAACCTCTCTTATTTAGCATGGATGGTGATTGGGCATTGTGGGTAGTCACGTAATCTTGTATCTGACCCATTTGATAAGACATGAGTACATCAGGCATAATCTATCTTAGTAAATGACTTAAAAAAAATGTCTGAGGGATTGGAAGGGTCTGGAAGTCCAACTTTTAGTGAAATATTCTCATTGGATTGGGGACACACAGGCTGCCCACCAGTGGGTAACACCAGAGAGCCCCTGAATTGAGTGGGGTTAAGTGAGCTCTTGCCCAAAGCACCCAGCACATGGGTGACACCTGGTCAAGTGTCTGACTGAAGTTGATGATTTTCCACTTGGAAACCAGGTGTGAATGATGGAAAAGTCCACTTCAGAATCCTTGCATTAGATTCTTCTAGCTTCTAGTCTCTTCTCTGCCTTCCCAGGGGCTTCTGTAGGTGACTTCTTTTGGTGCTCTAGGAAAGTGGGTTCTATCCATGGTGTGACACCCCAATTCAGGACTTCCTGAAGAAGTCAGGAAAACTTTCCTTACATGTAACTTGGAATTTCATCCTATTTCCTCTTGTCCTTTCCTTGGGAGAAGATGGAAAATGTAACGCCTACCTATGATCACAGAGCCCTGCGCACCATAAAGATTAGGCAGATCAGACTGTGTGAGGGGCTCTGTGTATGTGTGTGTGTTGTTTGTATTAACCTAAAAATCCAATAAATAAAACAAAATCAAGGCAAAATGAAAACTAAAAAGTAGACAAAAAAACCCCTCAAACCTCTCCCATCAGGGGTACCACACCCTTTGGACCCCTGGCCTATTTCTCCGTTCTTTATTCTTCCATTCATGTGGAAGGAATAATCAATACTTCCTGACTTAATGGACAGAATCCGAACACCTTTGTGAAAGTATCAGACCCAAGATTTATAAAAGTGAAAAATATAATCATTGACATAGAATGATGCTGATGGCCCTTGGAAGCCCTCCTGTTAATTTCTAACGGACGCACGCTGCAGCATTTTCAAACCTCTTCCTCACTCCAGAAGCTCCAGCTTTGCTGAACTCGAAGACATCTGACGTGGGCTTCTTCAAATTCTGACTCTGCTACAGAATGCCTGTTTCTCTGACTATCGCCTCCTTCTTTGCTCAGAGACCGATGTGCCCTTTCACTTTTTTAAGGCAAAGACTTCTTATATCTTTAGGTGTAATAGGTCCTTACACCTTGATTCCTTCCTCTGACACCAAATAGAGCAGAATTTCCAAGCGCCATGGATCACCCAGCTTTATAGGCGAGCCAATCAGCATGGGAACATATTTGCTGCGGCAAAGCTCTCAGAAGAGCAGGAGAGAGCTTCCTGAGTGGGGAGCAGAAAGAGTGGAGGTGGCCTGTGGGGGGCTCTGGGGCCTGGGGGAAATGTCCCAGCTCCCGTCCCCCCATCAGTCATTTGGGGTTGCAGAGAAGATAAAATTTGGAGAGATAAGAGTTCCATTGCTGGGACTTCCCTGGTGGTCCAATGGTTAAGACTCCGCACTTCCACTGCAGTGGGGCGGCGGGGGGGGTTTGATCCCCGGTCGGAGAACTAAGATCCCGCATGCCTCGTGGTGCGCGGCCAAACAAAAGAAAAAAAGTTCCATCATTGAAAGAAGGAAAGGCAATCACCTTGTCCCTACAGAGTTAGATGCTGGATTTACCAAGATGTGGGATGGTGCCAGCTGACAGGTGGGAGGGGGATTCTGAAATGTCAGCGAGGCCTTGGCTGAAGTGGCTGGACAGGCGAGGGGGCAGCCTGGGTCAAGGGCGAGAGCAGACAGGAAGGAGTTGATCACTGGGGCGACGGGGCAGCGCAAACAGCTGGAGGCCGAGAAGATTTAGGAAGCACAAGCCATGCACCTATGCCATCAGACATCGGTAGAAGCAGGGAGAGGCTCAAACTGCCAGTAGGTCCCCGTTTGTGGGCAGCAGGCATGGGGGAAAGATGGCAGGAGAAGGCTAAGGTCACCACAAGGTCTCAAATGGACTCTCTCAGTCCTAGGGCACCAGGGTGAATTCTGTGTCTGTGCGTCCATCTCTTCCCAGACTCCTTTGCCCTGAGTAAAATCAGGGAGCCCCTTTCCTGAATCTGGAGAGAGCCGTGGGCATTAAAATACATGCACTGGTGACTTTGGTCATATCCGAGATGGGAAAAATCTTACACCTAAACGCAAACACAATGAGGTTGTGTTTGGGGCCAAAAAGCGCTGATGTATTTTAAAAACCCTCTCTGACATGAAAATCTGTAAAAGGGATTATGTAATCAAGCTCACAGAGGTCATTCAAGAAATCAAGGTGTGAGTTACAAATAGTATTCCTTTTATTAAATAAGATCATGAATTTTAAAGCACAGTGCCTGGCCCTTATCAATCACCCCCAAACGGTAAGTGTTGCTAATGCTATATGTACTGATCATTAAAGCAGACCCAGGAAGACTTCTATTTGGAAACCCCTAAGTTAGCTATTTATTTTATTAATAGATGAGCTTTTGAGTAATAAAAAGACAGTGCTTAGAGTTCAGACTATTTCCCAGGGCAGTCTGACCTTTCTGAAAGTACTAAGACATTTACTTTCTTGTGCCATTTCTCTGAATAAAGCACCAATCCATGAACATAGGTTCTTGTGGAAAATGCAGTGCTCAGAAATACTCTTCCTACTCATTTCAAGAGTGTGTCTCACAGCAGGGCGACTAGAGCCCCCAAATACTTCTACTGTTTGAGCACTGAGTCTGTCAGCTAAATTCAAGATGGAACGGAGAAGCCAGGCCTGCTGTTTTCTCAAATTTTAATCCAATCCCTGCGCTCTTCACCCGTCCTCGTCCTCCCAATTCCCCTGCCTGCCCGCCTGCAGACGGCGTTGGCTGTGACCTTCCCGCCCTTGTGTGGTCCCTGCGGCTCCAACTCCAAACGCAGACATTGATGCTATGGTCCAAGTCCCAAGCAGGGCAACCAAGGCACCTTCTGGACCACAGCTGGGTTTTGTTTGCTGTATGCAGCACTTTTGAAAATTTTCACTGTGAACGTCTTTACAAGGAGGCATTGCTGTCAAGCTGACCCCAATCCCACCACTCCCTATTTCCCTGACGAGTTAATTTTGTCACCTCGGGGTATAAGCCACCTCCCGTTTCCTGTAGCAGTTCAGCCCTCACAGGGCCCACGGACGCCCAGGTCTGGATGTACCACTGTGTCCACCTAGACAAGCTCAGCCCCGTGTTGTCTGCCTGTCGTGGGCCTCGGCTGATTCTAACACAGCAGCTCCCAAACCAAAGAACCAAATTCCATTCTGGTGTCTATGTGACAGCTTACCATCTGTACACATTGGCTTGTTGTAATGTTCAGAAAAAAAGAACCGAAAAGAACAGCAGACCTTTTAAAAAAGTCTCAACCTTAAATAAGTTAAAAATTGCCCGTAGCCTGCTATGCTGTTTTAAGGTAATTAAACAAACTTCTGTACATCAGAGCTGTTAAAGCAGCTTTGATTTTCAAAGTTGGAAAGAGGGATTCAATTATTTAACTTCCCTGGAACTCTCTACTGATTAGGGAATAAGGTAGCCTATTTTTTTTTTTTTAAGCTTTCCTTCGTGAGTCCAAGAAAAATGACCTCTCACGGGTCTCTTTTTTGGCCCCAGGAGAGCCTTATTTTCTTGGTGGAGTTCATGACAGTTTTTTCATGAGCAGGGCTTTTGTTGGCCAGTGTATATTCAGAGAGCATAGAATGGAGGTAATTCATTCATTCCTAAGGATCCTGTGAAGTAGGTGTAATTATCCTGATGTTTATAGGTGAGGAAACTCATTCAGAGAAGATACACCCCTTGCCCAAGGTCACACAATTAGCCACTGGACTTGACCCAGGTTTGCAGACAGCTCAAACAGGCTCCTTACATCACCCCATGCAGCCCCCACTAAATAAAGGCCAACACCACAAAGCCACTCAAGTCACAGACCTCAGGGTCACCGGAGGAAGGAAGGGTCAATACAGGTCTTGCAAAAATGCAGAGTTGGGGGAAAAAAGCAGAAAAAAAAGAAACCTACTACATCTTGGCAAAAAGGATCTTTTAACCTCGGTCCTGGATTTGTGGCTTCCGTCCAAGGCCACTTCGGCCCAAGAGACTGTAAACCCATTTTTCATACAGAGGATGTGGAACGGCTGGCCTAACCCAGACCAGGCAAAGAGCAGAAGCAGAGGTACCTACCGCCCTCAAACTCTGTCTGGCAGTTCCCCGAGGTCTCATTCAGGCTCTCTTCCTCGTTGATGATGATGTTCTCAATGTCCTTCATCGTTAAGTGGTCCCGGAAGGCGTGATAGAGGATGTGCTTCAGCTCTTCCAGAGTTATCCTCTGCATGTCGAACTGTGGAGATAAAGAGGAGTGAGAGGGGGACTTCCCTGGTGGCACAGTGGTTCAGAATCCACCTGCCAGTGCAGGGGACATGGGTTCGAGCCCTGGTCCGGGAAGATCCCACATGCCGCGGAGCAACTAAGCCCGTGAGCCCCACAACTACTGAGCCTATGCTCTAGAGCCCGTAAGCCACAACTACTAAGCCCGCGACCCACAACTACTGAGCCAGTGTGCCACACTACTGAAGCCCACACGCCTAGAGCCCGTGCTCCGCAACAAGAGAAGCCACCGCGATGAGAAGCCTCCGCACCGCAACGAAGAGTAGACCCCACTCGCTGCAACTAGAGAAAGCCTGCGCGCAGCAACAAAGACCCAAGGCAGCCAAAAATCAATCAATCAATTTACAAAAAGAAGAGAGGAGTGAGAGGGTCTGGGGCACTTGGGGGTGAGAACTCGGCTTGGGGCATGACCAGCAAGCCCTAAGCCTTCCTACAGAGATTTGTCCCAGCTTTTCAAGACATCAGATGAGCAGTTTTCTGCCACGCTCAGCTCCAGGCACATTTGTGAACTTGCAGGAACTTCTCCGGAATTCAAGGAATGCGATTCCCCCCTCAGTAGAGAATCTTGGAGAAAAAGATGCCACCTGCTAGTTTGGTTTCCTACTCATCCAGCCATCTGCTGTCACCCCTCCACACCTCATGTACTTTGGAGTGTGTCACACTTCAGACAATGCATATGTCTCTAGAAAGTTTTAAATCTTCCAAGAAGCCAGCATGTATCTTGCTCTAACAAGATAAAATGCACGTTCCAAGCCATGTTTATGAGGAAGAACAGCTGAAAAAAAGGTGTAGCGTTTCCACTTGTGTTCTTCCGCTACAAGGGAGAAGATTTGCTTTTCCACTCCATTTCTATCAGATTTGGTCATGTCACTTTCTTGGCCAATGAAATGTGAGTAGAACTAACATAGGTCACATCGATTAAAATCTTTAAGAGCCATTGCGTGGTTCTAGCCTGTGTCCTTTTCCTTCTGTCCTACAAAGAGGCTGTTCCTTCTGTTGGGGTCCCAGAATGAGGATAAAGTAGAGAAGATAGCCCAAAAAGGAAAAGTAATGGGAGTAGCAAATGCCCTTCGCTGTAGCCATAGAGATTTGGTATAACTTGGTTTACGTCAACAATATAGAAATTAGTACGTAGAAATGAAAAGCTACTATAACAAAAATTCTAAAAGAGGATGTATGGATTGCAGGGCCAGGAAAATAAGAAAACTGTTATTGGAGGCTGGAAAGATAACAACCCATGTTATGCAGTAGCAAAACATTTGGTAAAGTTGTTTCTGGTGATAACTCAGAGGGCAGATACACATTGAATGGGTTTGTGGCTTTAGGTAAAAAGTTTGGGACACAGCAGGCTCTGGTTGCAATTGGTTGCTCATCTACAAGAAAGAGATGAGCTCAGAGTGAACTAAATCAGACAGAGAAAGACAAATACTGTATGATCTCACTTACGTGCGTAATCCACAAACCAACGAACCAACCCGTATTCACGGATCCAGAGAACAGATGGGTAGTTTCCAGAGGCACGGGGGTGGGGAGTGGGTGAAATGGGTGAAGGGGGTCAAAAGGTACAAACTTCCAGTTATAAAATAAGTCCTGCAGATCTAATATCCAGCATAGTGACTATAGTTAATAACATTGTATTGTGTATTTGGAAGTTGCTAAGAGAATAGATCTTAAAAGTCCTCCTCACACACAAAAAATGTGTAACTATGTGTGGTGATGGATGTTAACTAGACCTCTTGTGGTGAGCATTTCACAGTATACACAAATTTCAAATCTTTATCTTATACATAGGAAACTGATATAATGTTATATATTAATTATACTCAATTTGAAAAAAAGGTGATGAACTCAGGAAAGAATTGATTGTTTTGCAAGCCAGGAATAGAGACAACCCCAGAATTTCTGGTCTTGCAGCATTGAAAGAAGCAATTGTTTCTCATCTCCTACTAGGAAGAGATAAAATTGAGAAATGCTATAAATAACAATCCAAGCCTATTAAAACAAATCAAAATGTCCCTTCTTAAAATCTCTGAATATGTTAGGTGGCTCTCCCAGAAAGCTGGTCATTAAGTTTAGAGAGAGGTATGTCTCAAAAATAATTGTGGATATTAGCAGAAACCAACTGGAGTTAAATAGATTTTTAAAAATGACTAACTTTTTGAGAGAGCCAAGAGCAAACAGCCTGGGACTAAAAGACTATGACTGTTCAAAACTTAAAATCATCTTTGGGCTCCCAACCTTCTATGGGCACAAGCCACTTTGAGGATAAGTTACAGAGGCCCCAAGAAGGGTATATTTTCCAATACCCCTGATAGGGATAGAGTAGGATAATTAAATAGTCAGTTTAGAAATCTCACTAGGGGATTAAGACAGAAAAGGAATTTTAAGGGAGTTTGGGAGACTGTTGTAAGCTAATAACCACTCAAGAAAAGAATCCAGTAACCTAACAACAATCTACTCTACCTTGAAAGACCAGGTGCGTCCAAGTGCCAGACACACTCAAGCCACAAACCCCGATATTTAAAACACAAGACAATAGATACGGGATGTGGATCCTGTTACATGAACTCAGAGAGTTAAGAGTCCTTGAAGAGTAGCATTTCTGCATGTGGCCAGGACAGAAATATAGGTGAAAGGGGACATTATACCAAAACCTGAGATAAATTACCATATTTTAGTAATATATATATGATCTAAATAGCACCATGACATCTGCCCAAGAATGAGGAAGAGGTGGTCTTCTCTCCTCCCCACGTTTTATTTGATTATAAAAATGTAGCCCTCTTTGTTCTCAGGGCTGTTTCCTTGCCAGCCCACTTGTATCTCCCACAAGCGTCCTATGCTAATAAACTCACTCTTGGCCTGCCGCTTTGCCTCACACTGAGTTCTTTCTGTGATGAGGCAAAAGAACCTGAGCTCCAGTAAGTCCTGACACCAGGTGAGTGGTTTTAATCAAAAGACAGCCATCATCAAAAAATCTACAAACAATAAATGCTGGAGAGGGTGTGGAGAAAAGGGAACTCTCTTGCACTGTTGGTGGGAATGTAAATTGATAGAGTCACTATGGAGAACAGTATGGAGGTTCCTTAAAAAACTAAAAATTGAACTACCATATGACCCAGCAATCCCACTACTGGGCATATACCCTGAGAAAACCATAATTCAAAAAGAGACATGTACCACAATGTTCACTGCAGCTCTATTTACAATAGCGAGGACATGGAAGCAACCTAAGTGTCCATCGACAGATGAATGGATAAAGATGTGGCACATGTATACAATGGAATATTACCCAGCCATAAAAAGAAACGAAATTGAGTTATTTGTAGTGAGGTGGATGGACCTAGAGTCTGTCATACAGAGTGAAGTTAGTCAGAAAGAGAAAAACAAATACTGTATGCTAACACATATATATGATCTAAAAAAAAAAAAAAAAAGGTCATGAAGAACCTAGGGGCAAGATGGGAATGAAGACGTAAACCTACTAGAGAATAGACTTAAGGACACGGGGTGGGGAAGGGTAAGCTGGGACAAAGTGAGAGAGCGGTAGTGTATATATGGAAATATATACACTACCAAATGTAAAATAGATGGCTAGTGGGAAGCAGTTGCATAGCACAGGGAGATCTGCTGGGTGCTTTGTGACCAGCTAGAAGGGTGGGATAAGGAGGGTGGGAGGGAGATGCAAGAGGGAGGAGATATGGGGACATATGTATATGTATAACTGAGTCACTTTGTTATAAAGCAGAAACTAACACACCATTGTAAAGCAATTATACTCCAATAAAAATGTTAAAAAAAAAAAAAAAGACAGTGGGTTCTAGTCCCCTTCTAGTCAGGGATCGTGGATTCAAGTCCCAGCCCGTGGGTTCGAGTCCCATCTGAGAAGGAGTGCAGTTTCACCCTCATCAGGTGGGTACAAAGAGAACAAGTGGAAAAGGATGGATCTCCCAGATGGTGATGAAATCATGCAACGACATCAAGCACCATTTCCAGGAAACACAACTAGGGTCTAATTAAGGAACATGCCTCACCTCAAGGTCTGTTCAACAGGATTTCAGAATTGCTCCGAGACTTGGACTGCTATGCGTGTTCCATTGTTTGCTTTCTGGATGGGAATATTTTTGGTGGTTAACCTGACCCCCTTCCACTACTAAAAATTGAGTGTGTTTTGGGGGATGGGGTGGATTCAGGGGGGGTAATTTGACTTTGCAGTTCATATGTCTCCAGATCAAGAGAAGTCACACCCAGATTTGATGTACATCTTGAGATTCTACATCTTGTCTTCTGTTGTCATTGGATGGGACTTTTGAGTGTCTCCCTTGGGGAGGGGATGAGTGTATTTTGTGGCTAAAGGGAGGTAAATAAATATTTATGAGCAAGAGTGTGGGCTGTAATTGGTTATATTATTTCCAATGATTTCTTTCCCCTTCCTGTGAGAGGATTATATCTCCCTGCCCATTAGCACCAGGCTTTGGCCAACTGAACGAGGGTGAAAGTGATCTATATGAAAGTGATGGAATTCCAAGGAGAAGTCTCAAAGTTATCCGTGTGTTCTGCCATTTCTCTTTTTCTTCTGCCACAAAAACACACTAAATATGGGCCGTTCCTTCATCCTAGGTCCCAGAGTGAATGCGACATGGCGCTAATCCACAAAGGGCATGTAATCTGAGTGAGAAATAAACCCTGGTTATTAGCCACTAAGACTTCGGGATTTCTGCAGTATAACTCACCCAAGACTGAATACAGAAATCAATGTTTTAAGTTAGTCTGGATCATGATGAAAGGAAGGTTGAGACATTTTTTCACCCTGCTTCCTTTGTAAAGCAATTCCTACCTGGCTTTCAATATGCCCCTTGTTCTGACAAATTAAATTGGGTTACTGGAACTTGCTGGAAACCTAAATGACTCAAGTTCAAAGCCATTTATATGAGTAAGAACAATTGAAGGGGG